CCCATTTGCAAAAAGGGAGACAAAGGGGATGGACGTACCAAAGACCCAGATCTTGCCGTCCAAAACAGACGCCGACAGAGCCGAACGCGGGTGCAGCATGGACGTCATGTACTCCCACACGTTCTGTTCCGTATTCAATCGCTCCATACTCCTCAGTTGACTGTGCGAGTCATACCCACCAACTGCGTAGATGAAGTGACCAATAGCAACCACACCTATAGTCAAAAACACCTTTAGTGTCAGTTTTTGTAGTTTGCAAATATTCTCACCCCACAGGTAGTACGACTATTTCTCCAACACCAACTTACAAGGTCTGCACAGAAAGAAAACGCTCTTCCTGTCTGGAAACTGCTGCTAGGATTTTCGTAAGGAGTGTTCACCATCCCATATTCACTCAAAGTAAACACAATATACGAATGAAAAAGCACTTCTGAACCTGAATTTCCCCATAAAGCCTTGTTTTGTGTAAGACAAACGAAATCTCTGCACTTTCAGACTATCCTTCCACACCAACCAAAACAGGAAGTGTAATGCTTCAATTTGTCCATCGTCACAAAAACAGTCAACTGAATGACAGTTTTCACGTGCAATTGGCTTCAACACAATGGATGCCTTGTGCACGCCTACGATGTTTAAGTCTTGCTGCACTACTACTACTGCAAAGCCGTTAGTAGCATGTTGCAAGTGTCGCAAGTCATGCACAGAAGAAAAAGATGAAAGTTCTCATAATCTTTTGTTTTCACACAAACATTGCAACATTTATAGAGTGCGAGTGAGGAATAAACCACTTGTCATCACCAGACTCAAGCCTTGTCCAGCAACAACCAAAATGGTGCCACAATAAGGCATGAATAATCTGCCGCATTCATCCCTCCAAACCACGGAAACAAAAACGGCGAAATTCCGCAGGCAACATTCAAATATCATTGTTATACAACTAATGAGTAGCAAAAACCATACGAACATGCCTAGCCTAGGATTACACAAGTAAACGATATCGAATGTGTCCGCTACCAGCACTCGTAACGCATTTCCATCGCAATCCAACCCACCACAACGAAACAGCTTAGCCCACGAAACAACAACCTGTCCAAATCACCTCTCAGGGACTTTTGCGTTGACATCAATGCACTTCCTATTCACAATGCCCCGTTTAGGCAGACAAATGCCTCCAAATCACGAAAGTAAGTCAGCACTTTAGGCAATGGCGGCGTTTTGGCTCATTCAAGCAAAAACTCCTCCCTCTTTCGGACTCGCACAAACACACACACACACACACACACACACACAAAGGGGACTGCTTCCAATTACACGTCACGGAGAGAACGCAGGCATGCCGTGCGCATGGGATTCGGCTCTTCGACATCCAACGCCTGCCTCCCACCCTTGCCGCTGTGACCATGGCCTCAATTCGACCCAGTGGCTTGGCACGTCGTTGGACTGGACTTCCCATCTAATGGGAGATTTACGATTCATACCAAACAAAGTAACGAGGTCGGCCACCACCGATCATGATGAATGGGACTCTCGACAATTCCAGTCAGGAGAACTACTTCCTCACTAAACTCCACTTCTCCACATGCGTGCGCGACTTCCATTCGGCTGTCGAAGCAGGACTGCCGCCGTTGCCAATTTCACTCCTCAAAACACCGCTGATGCGTCAATGAAGCACTTCTATGAAATTACTTTCAACCACGATAAGTCAACTTGGGATGCTGTCTACTAGCCATTGCTGAATCCCATTAGAGAAACGATGGCCCGATGACTACCGATTTGAATCACTCTCTAACATACTTGCAATTTCCAGCAACCAAACCAACGGCCTCAACTATCCACTTGACGAGTAAACAACCTTCAACTCGAACTACAAAAAACACCCAGTTCTTTACCAGAAATCGCCAACTGATGTCATTTTCTGACACGAGTTGACATTTTCGGCAGTCAAAACACTACCAACTTCATCCAAAGGGATTGCTTCCCATTTCGAGGTTTGTTCAACCTTGTGTCCTTGGGGCTTAATTTACAGCAAAAAGAGGAAACAACCACGTCGTCAGGGCCCCAGACGTAAACTCAGGTCTCGGCGCTTCACACGCCACACTGCTACCACCGTCAAAGCCATCATCGCGAGCCTGCGTCACACAACACCACACCACATCACACCACACACAATCACTCGTGGCCAGCCAACAAGCCATCTACATGTGCACACAACCAGACACACACACACACAGACAGACATTTTATGTGCACCTTTAATGTGTTCTGTCTGCCTCGCCTCCACAAACACGACGACGTACACACACACACACATGCAGGCAGACAGATGGGCAAACAGACAGTAGAGCACGTAGAATTACCACCGCTTCACTGACCAGCCCAAGATGCGATGCGAGAGGAGGAGGAGGCGGCGGCGGCAGCGGCAGCGGAGGCTATGAGGATTTATTTCTACTTTGTTATTGCCACAGCTCTGACGGCTACGACTACGACGACTGGTGGAAGCACTACTATTATTGCACCGGCGGCACATCAAAGGAGGAGACACACAGAAGGGCGGCCACATTTAAATACCCCCACCAGACAGACGGCCGCGTGAGTACGCACGCACGCACGCAGCCACGGCGATCGTGACTGGCTGGTGTTGATTGCGCATCGAGGCAGACGCACATACATCAACACACACACACACACACAGACACAGACACACACACACACACACAGACAGACAGAGAGAGAGAGAGAGAGAGAGACGAAGGGGCAGACACCGATTACGGCGATGCGCACCCGCACCCTTCTGCCGACCGGCTATACCAGCGGATTTGTCTAGTGGTGGATAAGTAGGTCGGTACGTACGTAAGTAGGTAAGTGGGCAGGCGGGTAAGTAGGTGGGGTGGAGATGCTGATCAAGAAAATGGACATTTATTCTCACTCCGACTTAATCGCAACGCACACAACAAAGTCCGGGCCCCTCAAATGCTTGAACATTTCAAAAGCCACTATCATCCGCCTCCTCCTCCTCCTCCACCTCCTCCTAAGGTTGTGACTTCAATTTTCTTCCACTTATTGGCAATTCAGAAGTTCCATTCTGATGCACAATGTCTTGGTCACAAACGAAGAGCTGGCAACAAGTTGATAACTGTGGCCCCCTGGATTTGGCCTAGCATTCACATTCGAACGTGGAATTGACATTTTATAAACAATTCGTAAAGTAGCAAGTCCATTTAAAGAAGAAGCAGAGGTTGTGAGAAATTTCAGCACAAACGAAAAAAAAACCAAGCGTTTCACTTTATTTGTCACTTTGGCTGAGCAGCGTTAGAGCCGTTCGAAACACGCCTGCCAGTTTACGACAACCGCTGTCCAAACAATCTTGGATACCACTTTCACCACAGAGGAGACGCAACGGCACTCAGACAAATTTGCTCGATTGATAGCCAAAATACACACGGGCAAGACGTTGGAAGTCAGACAGTCCCGAAAGCGCGTACATGATGGTGATGATGATGATGATGGTTAGGGAGTTGAAGGTGTTTCGTTCAAGCACAGGCTGCTGATTACAAGCCGAAAGGCTCATGTGAATGGGCTACACTCATTTCCAGCTACACACGAACTAGCGGTAGCAGAAGGCCCTGAACACCGCCACTAGGTGCGCGGTCTCCGCCAAAAGGGCAGTGGAGGAAGTTCAGCAATGCTCCTCGAAAAAGACAATTTACAGCAGTTCACTCTCTCCCAACTATCCAACAATTACTGCTGGTAAAAGTCGTTGACTGACAGAGTTCTAGCAGACAGCTCAACTTCCAGCAAAACGTGTGTAACATCAGGCGCCACAGAAAAACCACCATTTCTAAGTCTTTGTAGTGGCAAGGCGCGAGACAGAAATCCCACATTTCAATGCGAGGCATGCAAACACAAATACACGACTGAGGTGCACGCACCGGTGTCATAGTGCGGTAGGGAGAGAGACAAAGGGAGTAACAGAGACCATTAGCAGACAGGGCGAAGTGGACACACAACAGCTGGGGGTGGCTAAGACGGTTTTAACATGATAAGACAACCTGGAAATATGCGTGCAGTTGTCATGGCTAAAACGGTTTTTTGCATTTAAAAGGCCTGCTTCATATATATGCATACATATGGACGAAAAAATCTGGAAAAAATGCGTGCAGCTGTGATAACATTCGAAACAGATTGTTGACGCATGGTTACCGCCACAAACCAATCTACATAGTCTTACACTCATCTAATGCCTGACTTGCTGACCTGAGAATATTTCAAACCAAGCAAAATGGACACTCTAGAAGACACTGACTGCCATGAGGAAGTGACTTAATGCACCCCATCAAACGCATTCAAATCGACCTTGAAAGTTCGGCCACAAGGTGGGGGAACCAACCTTAGACAGGAATGACAAATCACACACAAGTCTCGAGAAGCGATTGACAAGCAACGGTGAATAAGATAGTTGACGCCAGCAAACAGACTCCACGATGGACCCTAATCAACTAGGTCTGTACTCCAACCGACTCATAACCTCAAAGAAGCATGCACCTGAACGACGCCAGTCAACGCTGACAAGTGCAACTCGTCAAAATGCCTTCACAACCACAACACAGTAAACGGCGATCAAGGCGAATTAGTCCACACTTTTGATTCAACAAAAAAAGGCCGCGAAGACTGCAACTAATTAACTGTTGAAGAGAAGGCTTCAAGGCGCAGGACCCGTACGGGAGGAAAGAAGTCACCATTACTAATTGCAACGCATTTGAATTCAAACAGCGAAACGTGAATGCAGACATTTTAGCAAGAAGCAACAATTCGCAAGTGACTATAACCATTCAGGCCATCATTCTCATACCGACTTTCAACGGCCGACCCAGAAAGCACAAAAACAAAACCCAAGACTGCCTTCTCCTCTAATCCATATTTATGTTTTTAAATTAGGGGCAAAAAGACGAACGAACCACGAAAACTAACTGCAAACATTTCAGATAATACAACTAAAAGGAACTAACCAAAGCTCCCTATAAGCGCTAGCTTTCAACACATTCAAAAGATCAGATAATGAACACAGAAATCGAGTTTACAAAGTGACCTTCCATCTGCCTAGCTGATTGGCATTATACTGACAGGAAAGCAAAAAACCACGACAAAGTGAAGGCCAACGATTTTGTGGAGGGTGCCATGGACAGGAAATGACTGCATCCGCTCCACTTCAAAAGCCCAACCACCTCCGAAGGCAAAAAGCGCTTTTTCACACTAGAACCC